CTTGATTTGCAAGGATGCTCTTGTAATCCACACACCTACTAGGTGTAGTTCACTGTCCCATGCAGTGGCACTTAAACTACTTACAGAGAGAAAGGATAATGAGTTTGCTCTATACTACAGCCTTAGCTGAGAGACAGCTGGCTTTTAGCTGAAGCTGTAAAGGCTCATGCACTAAGCTCCAGAGATCGGCATTACAATCTTCCAATGACATCACTTAGGGTATGGCAGAGGGATGCAGATTAGGCAGGTCGACATTGCAAATGAAATGGGGATTTAAATATCCTGTGCTTAATTTGCATAAAAATGGCCACCGTTTTTGCCAACTCAGCACTTTGTTGGCAAAAAACAGGAGGGGGATCCGTCAAGAAAGCAAGCCTTTTTCGACAGATCCAGTAAACCTCCTTGCAGGAGGCATAAGGGATCTGTCGAAAAAGGCTTTCTTTCTCCACAGATTGCCCTCTAGACTGCTGCTTTTTGCCAACAAAGTGCTAAGTTGGCAAATACGGTGGCCATTTTTATGCAAATTAAGTATGGAATATTTAAATCCCCGCTTCATTTGCAATGTGGACCTGCCTAATCTGCATCCCTCTGCTGACAGAGGGATGCAGTCCAGACATACCCTTAGTGAAAGCAAGAGCAAAATCAGAGCCACTGAATTCAGACCATATAGGAACCAATGGGCTATTAATAGGTTATAGCACAGAGTTCAAATAGTGTACATCTAAGCAGATGGTGTGTACGGGGAATTGAACAGAGCTGGGTTCCACACATCCCAGGCAGGATGCAGCAGTTTTCAAAGAAATGGGAAAGTTTGGGGTCTAGCTCTATTGGCCCCTCAGAGCCCTGTTTATCCTCAATTCACTGCAGACCTTGGGAGGTCCCTCCATCAAAAGGATGTTTTCTCAGACCTTCCTTTGCTGGCATTGAGTCTGATTCCTTTGGCAGCCACAGGATTTCTTACACTTACAGGGTAGCTCATGCTGCTGACAGTGGGAGGAGCATAGCAGAAAAACCTTTCCCCAACCTCCCAGCAGTGAGAAGTAGAGAGCTGGCACAGACACAGGGCAGCTCTTGAGACCTCAGGGTTACCCTCTGTGCTACAAACCTGGAGCTGGTTTTACAAAACCCTGGCCAGCTTCCTAAGAAAACAAGAAAGGGAGATTTACACTAACCCATGGGAAGCCATTTGTTTTCATTGTATTTTAAGTGATTGTTTGCCCCGCCCAGGATTATCTCATGGGAAAGAAAACCCTGGCTCAGTGACTTCTGCTGAAACTTGTTTCTGAGCCAAATTTCCTACACCTGATGCACCTCTCTATGGGAGGAAACACATGCTTCTCAGAGCACCGCGTTGCCCTGGGGCAATGGTGGGGGGGGAAGAGTAGAGGGACTGTATCTTACCCTGCCCTTTCAGAACAAGTTAGGCCCGTTTGAACAGTGAGCAGAGCAGCCCTCTGAAGAGAAAGGGCATCATGTCACCCTGGGAACTGACATCACATGACAGTGGTGGCAGAAGGAACCTGTCTAAGGGAGAGGTTGAATCATCCCCTTTCTTGTGCAATTGGTCTTCACTAGTACAGTACTGCATTTATATGATGGGAACTCTTCTACAGCACAGAACCCAGGGCTGGCCTCTAGTGCACATGAGTCAGCAGGTTTCAGAAGGCCCAGGTACAGAATGGAGCAGCTCTTGCTGTGGGATCATAGCCATGCTATAGTCTGTATCTTAAGTAAGATATTCCTAACAGCATTCTAGAGTAGTTTGTCTGACATGGGATTTCATTCTTGTATCTAAGTTACAAAACTATACTGGTCACTCTATAATACATAGCCCAATAGAGGGGCCAGGGAATAGCTACTGACTTGTCAGGAAAACCTCTCTGAACCCTCTTGGTAATAATTGCATTGAAGCAAGGTTGTACTGAGTTTGGACCCCAGCTGTCTCAGCTGCTTTACCAATTCAGTTGTGTTACTGGACATGTCACAATGTTGCAGTTCCCTGTTAACAGTGCCAGCGCCAGACCCTGGAAGCCCTAAGCAGGAATATTTTTGCTTTCCCCCTGACATGTACTAAACAATTAATAGGAGGTCCCATGCAACTGCTTAGCCTGCTTATGCCTCCACCCTCTCTGCCAGATAAGGTTAAATTAAACACAATGGTCTTACATAGGATTAGGTGCTGTTTACACTAGCAGAGTGTACAGCTCTGTTGGAGGGGTCCTCAAGGACTTGCCACACCAGGCTGTAGGAGGTAGCTGCACTGAGCCAGACAATGCTTGGTATTTTGGGTAGTTATTTCCAGCCAGGACTCAGAGGAAGCGCACAGAGGCCCTGTCAGCTGGGAGCTAATTAGGCACAGCTAAGCCTATTACGGGTGTGTTAGTCTGAAAAGAGACACAAAAGAGCCATCTCTACACTAGGCAAATTTTCTCACCATTGAGAAAGCAGAGTTCACCTCCACCAGAGCTCACTCTAGCGTACATGAGCTAGTGGCTGCTGCCAGTGACTTAAGCACCTGATCTGAGCCAGGTTAGAGGATTCAATACTTAAAACCACATGCAGCTGGCAACCTGTAGAGCTCCCAGCATTGCCACCAGAATTGATGAGGTGGTAGTACTGGAAGGAAAAATCTTGATCGATATGCGGAGTAGTGGCACACCCACTCTGGGGGGGGAACAAGAACTACACGATATGGCTTGTACCCTTTTTCTTTTGCATTTACAGTCTATAAAAACAGGTTATGCAGGAGGTCATCTTAGGATCATGCTGATCCCTTCTGGCCTTAAACTGCAAGAAAATTGCATGGAAAGAATGCAGCTGGAAGTCTATGTCCAACTAGCATCAACCTGGGATCAGCTGCATAAAACCCACCCTGGAAAGGTGATTTGTATTCAAATCTGAGCCAACAGTAACACCTCTCATCATTCTACCTGGTATCCAAGTGTGTTACAACCCCAGCCAAGGTTTTAGAATGAGCCGGGGACAGAGCAACTCTGGTGGAGCTGCACTGCAGGAGCTTTCACAGTGCCAGAGGCAAAGGGCGGCTGCTGCTGCTGCAGTTGAGTCTGCCACTATGGAGCATAGACAGAGTGGGTGTGGGGAAGGCTTCCTGGCAGAGGGGAAG